GTTTGAAAACTAAAAGTATATAAAATTTTGTGCCGAAATTTAATGTCAAAATTAAATAACTAAAAACATATTTAACTCTAATAAAAATGATTATATTGTCTTTTTTTGTCAACAATTATTTTCTAATTTTATCCTTAAATAAAAGTTTTTTTAATTAAAGTAATTAATTTTATCATTTAAATGAATGTTTCTTTATATTTTATTAATTATTTTTTCAACTGTTTTTTAACTTAACATTTTTTAATTAAAAGGTTACATACGAAATAAATTAAAACAATTTATGATAAAATTATTAAAATCATTAAAATTATTTATATTTAATTTTATAATTATGATAATAACAATAATAATAATTTTATTTGTTTTTATCATCACCAAAAGAAATAAATATACGTGCATGTGTTTTCATCAATAATAATAATAACTATGATAATTAAAATAATTATAATTATAATATTAATATTAATAATTTTGAATAAATATGATTTCTTCGATCTTTTTAGTACATTTCAATTTTAATTTTTGTATTTTATTGGTTTAATTTTATTTTACTAATTAGTGATGTGTGAAATAATATAGATTCAAATAAAGAAAAGGAGAAAATATTCAAAATTTTTTATTAAAAGAAAGTGGTTGTTAACTTATATATTATAATTTACCTTATATTAATAAATTAAATTGATATTTTAACTTTTTACTTACTCAAAAGTATTTTCAAATTTTTAACTGGTACATTTATTAAAATTCATTCAAATAATATTTTGACAGTAAAGTTTATCGTCATACTTTTGAAAATTAAAAATGCATAACAAATTTTACATTTGACATGCTTTCTATTTAAATAAATTAAATTTATATAACTTTTTTCTAAATTAATAATTTTGTACGTGATACACTTAATATACATAATGTAGAAATACTTGTTTTACATTTTTCTATTACATCTATATTTATTAATTCATAAATATAGATATTATAACCAAGCTTTCCTTTTTCAGAATTATTAATGAAGGGATTGGACCTTCCAAAATGGAGATGATGAGAAACGACAGCGTTTGAACGAGGAAGGGTGCCACACGTCACTGGCCTAGATGGGGCCACGTCCAGTCTAATTCTTACCCAGAAAACGACAAAACAGAGAAGAAGAAGAAGCTTTGGAAGATATTATTTATAGGGAACGATGATAGAACTGAACAGAAGAAAATATAGATATTTTGGGTTCTGCTGTTGTGTACGTTATTAAAACCAATCCATTTCTTTCTCTCTCTTTTCTATTCGCTCAAATGGCTGTCAACCTTGGAAACCTGGCGCTGTTACTGGACCTGGCTTCGCCGCGGGGCGCGATTCTAGAGAGGAAGACTCGTCCCGTTGGATCCGACATCGTTTTGAGCTCGGCACCCTCCAAGAGGGACTCCCCCCCCTCCTGCTGCTATGCGCCCGAGGGAGACGCGCGGAATCGCCTGGTGATGGTGCGTGGAAAGTCCAACTCGGAGAAGAACGGCGTGGAGTTTGACAGCGACGAGGAGGAGGAGGAGGAAGGTGGGATGGAGGACTGGGAGACGGAAATGCGGCGGAGAGTGAGGGAGTTCGAGGCGAGGAGGGAGCTGGAGACGAAGGCGGAGGAGTTACAGAGCAGCGTTGATGAAGGCAGGGAAGAAACTGAGGAGGAGAAAAGGATGAGAGTCAGAAAAGAACTCGAAAAGGTTTTTTTTTTTTTTTAATAATTCATACAACAACTTAGATTTGATTCTCGGTACTGAATTTTTTATATATGAGACCTAAATACCTAATTTATGCTGACCAAATTAAAATAGTATATTGGTTAATTTTAATTAATATGTCATAAATCTAAGAAGCTGTATGTTTATCGTGTTTAAGAAAATAATGCCCTTATTTGTTTTTTATTATGCATGACATGAATTATTTTCAAAGTCAATAAATTTAGTTCGCATGCAACGTCTAATTGGTTGTATTAAGTTTGGTAACTTGTGTTAATTTTTAGTACAATCTTTCATTGTGCATATTACTAATTGAAGCTCAAGTCTAGAAGACTAACATAAAAAATGGGTAATGAATTAGGTCCATGTTTTGTTCTTTTAGCTCTGGGTAACAATTTTTGTATGTAGTCTATATGTTGAATTAGGACTTTTTTCATAATTTGTTGTTTTATTGATTTGGTGGATCAATCAGGTGGCTAAGGAACAGGCAGAAAGGAGGGCCACTGCACAGCTGATGTTTGATTTGGGCCAGAAGGCTTATGGAAAGGGCTCCTATGGACGTGCCATTGAGTTTCTTGAAGCTGCACTCACTATCATACCAAGACCTACATTATTTGGTGGTGAGGTTGGTTCTTTCTTGCCTCACCTAAATAAGAATTTCTGTCTGATTGTTTTAAGTGGAGGTAAAAGTAATTATAAAAAGTTGTGTTTTTCAGATTCAAATATGGCTGGCTATGGCCTATGAGGCCCATAACCGCCATAAAGATTGCATTGCTCTATACCGGCAATTAGAAAATACACACCCGAGTATCAGCATCCGACGCCAAGCCGCAGAGCTTCGGTATATTTTGCAAGCGCCAAAGCTCAAGATATCCCAGGAGGAGATGGTGACTATACCCTTGATTGGCTCTAGTTATGACAGGTGACTTCGTTGTTCATTTGCAAACTAGTCTCATTCAAGTCTTTGTTTATTATTAACCAACTTTACGTCAGGTATGATAATGCTGTTGTTGTTTGTGTTACTTACCATTTTTAACTGACTGTGCATTATTCTCATTAAATTGGATTCTTCTATAACTTGTGCTGAATAGATATCGATCTTTTCTGGTAAGGTTTGAATGTTTTGGATTATCAATAATTCATTTTCAACAATGAAGATATTATTATCTGTTATTTGAATGCTGCTCATCCTTGTTCATCAATCTAACTTTTGAATGCCCTTAATAAGAAGGCAAACGTGTTGAAAGAGTATTTATGTTTGAACTAATTATTATGTTATTATCACTACTCATTTACTTTATCTATGTTGGGTAAAATTAAATGCGTTTTGTTGTATTTAATAGTGTTGGTAAAATCAATTGTTTTAGGAGATTGCAAAGGTTAGGAGTGCTTCTAGTAATGATTAAGGTATTAATATTATTGAGAAGATATAACACCAATAAGACTTGAGTCCAACCATATAAGGGATTAATATCATTCACAACTCAAAACCTTAAGAGAATGAGTTAATGAGTCTTTACCCTTATATGATGCTTCATTTTCTCATTTCTTTCTAATATGTGACTTAGACTCACATTTGGATTTTCAACAATATTCATTCTTCATAAACTCACCAGAGTCAGATGTGTAGTGTGAAACACTATATGGTTCATTATTTAAATAGAATTGATTTTTTCCAAAAGTCGATGTCTGATCACTTGAATTTAGGAATTCAAGTAAAAGATTATGTAGAGAATGCTGATGCATGCAATCCCAAATATAAATATGACGGTTTTGCAATTGATGCCTTTTCCTGTTATCATTGTCAATTTGGAACAAATGTTGCGATGCTATATTCAAATTAGATGAATGTGCATTGTTGTGCTGTTGAATTGGATTAGCTTGACTCAAATATTGCTGGAAATGACTTTCAATGTTTTGTATTGCAAGTCCTGACACATTCCTTAGTTAGTTTCTTTTATCTAGATAAGCACTCGTTTCAGAAAATTCAAACCTCCCCTTTCGAAGAAACTTCATATGTGAATCATAAGTCCGATTAAGTCTTTTCCTACCCAACATTAATATTCACTTTTCCCTTATTTCATGTTTATGTTCTCCAATTATGACACTTTGTAGAGTTGTCCTTTGGTATTCATTAATGACTGACATTTTTTATTATTGTTTACAATAATTTCTTGTGATTGAAGTCTCCCAAAACCTTTTACATTTGTAGTTACTACTCTTTCATTGTCTATCTTCCATAATGCGTATTTCCATAAATTGCTTAGATTCAAAATCTTAAGTGGCTTTTGAAAATACAGTTTATCCAAACAACTATATATGAGAGTGTTATTATTAGCCGTCATAACTTTATATCCCAAGGGTTTGAAGCATTTTTGACACAGCTACAAGACATTGCAAGTTGTTATCTAGAACCAAAACTTTCAAACCCAATACTGGATAATAGTATTTTCTTGAATCAACTGATTGGAACATATTTGAGTCCATTTTAGAGAATATAACATAGAAAGTATATTTCAATTAGTTGTAACAAATTGCCACTAAACTATGCTAAACTTGATAATTCTGGTTAGATACTCAAATCTTATGCTTAAGCAAAAGAGCTAATGTAGGGATCTTATAAAAAAGGTTATAAAAAAGGCTTAGGGTTTGTAGTTTTACACTTACATTTAGTACCTGCTTCCATAATAATTAACTTGAGAGATAGGAACCCAATAAAATTTAAGTGATCTTAATGAATTTAACCCAATGCATGAAGGTGTTGGCTAGCTTGATGGTTGATCATTCCTTATCTCTCAAGTTAAAAATTATGAAAACATATATTAAATGTAAGTGCAAAGATGCAAATCCTAAGCCTTCTTGATAAGATAAGATCCGCCATATCGATTCTTTGCTTGAGCATAAGATTTGAGTACTTAGCAAAAATTATCAAGTTTAGTAGAGTTTAGTCGTAGTTTGTTATAACTAATTGAGATATACTTCCTATGTTATATTCTGTAAAATGAACTCAAACATGTTCCAATCAGTTGATTCGAAAAAATACTATTATCTAGTATTGAGTTTGAAAGTTTTGGTTCTAGATAACAAATTGCAATGCCTTGTAGCTATGTCAAAAATGCTTAAAACCCTTAGGATATATTATTATAACTGCTAATAATGACACTTTCATACAATTGTTTGGATCTAAACTGTATTTTCAAAAGCCACTTAAGATTTCGAATCTAAGCCATTTGTGAAAATACGCATCATGGAGGATAGACGATGAAAGAGTAGTAACTACAAATGTAGAGGGCTTTGGGAGACTTCGGTCAAGGAAATTATTGTAAACATTAATTGGAATGTCAGTCATTATTGAATATTGAAGGACAAACTCTTCAAAGTGTCATAATAGGAGAACATAAACATGAAATAAGGGAAAAATAAATCATTAATGTGGGGTAGGAAAAGACTTAGTTAGACTTATGATTTACATATGAAGTTCTTCGAAGGTGGAGGTGTTGAATTTTCCAAAACTAGTGCTTGTCTATATCAAAGAAACTAGTTTAGGAATGTGTGAGACTTGCAATACAAAACATTGAAAGTCTTTTCTAGCAATATTTGAGTCAAGCTAGTCCAATTCAACAACACAACAATGCACATTCATCTAATTTTAATATGACATTGCAACATCTGTTCCAAACTGACAATGATGTCAGAAAAATGCGTCAATTGCAAAACCGTCATATTCATATTTGTGATTGCATACATTAGTATTCTCTATGTAATCTTTTACTTGAATTTCTGAATTCAAATGATCAGATATCGACTTTTAGGGAAAAATCATTTCTATTTACAAAATAAACTGTATGGTGTTTCACGCTACACATCTTACTCTCTTGTGAATTTATGAACAATGAAAATACTATTGTTGACAAAGTTTTCGGTGAGGATACATGCATGTAAAGTGAAATGAATATTTCTTCATTATCATCCAATGACATGTGTCACTAATTTCCACCACAACTTCTCGTTTCTTTTCTACTATCATATTGAAAAGAACATGGCTTTTCTGAGGCCAAAGTAGATGAAATTCTTTATCCTCCAAATGGAACTCAAAAGTTCAGTGATGAGGATTTAAATACCTGCTTATCAATGTATAATAATCCTGAGAACTGCTTGAGTATAGAAGAACAAGACTTACAAAATAACAAATAAAAAACTAAGTATGTTTAAGCATTCTCACAAATATTATACACTACCAGTTTCTTGAATAAATCCACCAAAAAATATGCTTTGTAACTCTACTAAAGCACCAACAAGTGGGACATCGATTTATCTTATTCTAGTTATCTAATATTTTAATCACAGTTTACTAACCAAGTTATGTGTCTCAAATTAAAATCCACCAAATGAAGGCAGAGGAAGCAAGAGGATCTTAATTAATTCTTAGTGGACTAAGGCAACAATAACTTTAACATTAATCACATTATATAAACAACATCACTAGCTAACCAAATTTGAATAAGCTACACAAGATGAATATCAAATCGAGTATCATATTAGCTTGGAATAATGCACATTCTGCTCGGTGATGTCATGTGTAGATTGTTGACAAACAAGTCTTTCTAGATAAAATACTCTTTGTTTTATAACATGTTTTTTACATTCAACAGTATAAGAACTATTTATAAGCCTTTTGTCTTGACCCTTCAACTGCATGCTTTAAATTTTAACTACTACCAAAATCATAATTAATGAACTCTATTACATGCCTTAATCATTACTAGAAACACTCCTAACCTTGTAATCTCTTAAAACACTTGATTCTACCAACACTATTAAATGCAACTACCCACATTTTGTATTATAAACCCAATTGATTTGGATTTTCTCCTTTTCTGGCTGCCTGTATAACGTTTATACCTTGTGTGATGCTTTCCTTAACGTGTTTATAATTATTTTCTTGTGTGTTTTACTGGTTTTATGGTGACTACTGTTGTTAGTGGTCTAACATACAAGTGATTTTTTAGTATTTCTATGCGTATCCTAAAGAGAAGATTAATTAGGTACTCCCTGATGGTGAACATTTAACAAATCGTCAAACAATATCAATGGTGCTATTGTTTAATAATTAACTCAGTAAGAATCAGTGATAAAGCTGGATTTTTTGGTAAAGCACACGGTAACTGAATTTTGTCACTGATAGATCAATAATGCAATCTGGATGCGCAATTCTTTCTCTTGATTTTCCATTTTCTTTTTCAATTTTTTCTGCTCTCTTTTAGTCTTAAAGGTTTAGGGTAACATGTAGGGCTGAATTAGCTGCAACTTGCTCAAGTTGTATCATCCTTTTCTATTCCTTATGGTTTTTTAAATGCTTGAGTTTTCTAGTGAAAGGAACTCCCACTCATTAGTACTGAGAAGCCTTATAACTGCATATTCATTTTTCTTTTGTTATACTGTAATTGCATATTCAAAATTCTGGTTTATATCCTTCTTGCTACTTTTGTGATACAAAAAGTATGAATTATGATGTAATGGTAGCTATGCGGCAACATGGAGTGATAAGCACAAGGACAAGGATCGAAGAATGAGTGGATCAGTGACGAATCAGCTTCCATCATCCAAGGATTACCTTGCGGACTTTCTTGTATGGAAACCTCCCGTTGGGTTAGGGAAAAGTCGAGCATTCTGGGTTGGTTTAACGATATGGTTGGGATTGGTTGGAACCGCCCTTTTTATTCAAAGATAAAGTACACTTATATATAAAGTTCTCCAAGTGATGTATACATTCTAATTTGTTGCTATAGCTTTTCTTTTTTATATAATGTGAAGTCCATGTTGTAATATTAGAGAATGTATGGAATAGATTTGTAAAATTATTGTATGTATAAAATAGATAAATATGCTATTTTGTTATATTTCCCTGGTGTGGTGTTCTTATGATGAAATTACAAGGATGGTCAGTAGTTCTACTAATGAAGAAAGCAGGTGTTTAGCAGAACTTCTCACTCTCTGCTTATGCCCTTTTTATTGTCTGCTATACGAAATGGTTAGTAAGCAGGTCTGTTGGAATTGGGAATGCAAGGTCTTATGATTCGTTATTTATTGGTATTGTTATAAGTATTTCATCTCTAATATGGATAAGGATGTTTTGCAGTGCTTTGTAACAGCAACTTTTTGGTGTAGACCAATTCTTAGGCATCATCAGTTTTATCTACAATCAGTGATTTCTGTCTTTGTGGCTTTATGCTGTCCAGCTCCAGCACTAATCATGCAAGACCACAACTGAAATCGCACTGATGGAATAAGAAATTCTGCAGTTATACTTAGTTTTATGCCAAATATAAAAATTTAAGCTGTTAAATACCATCTGAAAAGGAGTAAAATATATTTAGATCCTTTTAGATTTGGGTAAAATCTAGTTTAGTTTCTACATTTTGTTAATAATTATATTAGTTTTCGTATATTTTAAGTGTGGTATGCTTCGCGTTTGAATCATATTGTTCTAATTTAAAATATGTTGTTATCATAATTTGGGTTTATGTTTTTGGATATGAAAGGGAAAATCATAGGATTTTGGATAATTGTCATTTGGTGTTCGGATTTTCGGGCGCTTCTAACAAGGAATACTATGAAGAAGCTTATTTCTTCCTAAATTTCCATATATATTCTCAACTTTTTGTATTTCGAAAGATACATTCTAAAAAATATTTTTTTATATTTTATATTATACATTTTGAAATACAACATAAAATTTATTTCAGATTATTTGATATATATATATATATATATATATATATATATTATATTTATATTTTGGATTATACATTTTAAAATATAAAATAGGAAATACATTTTTAATTATATATTCTAAAATACAAATTTACATAAAAAAAACTTCCAAAAAAGAATACATAAAAAGATTTAACATTAATAATAAACAAAATCATATTTCAAAGGATATTTCCTTTACTCACTTGAAGGAAATGATATTTATAAATTTGTCAATTCGGCCTTCTTTTACAAGTTAAAAAAGTATGTAAAAAGTGCATATAAAAGGAGTCCATAACATAAAAAACCTATGTACATTAAAATTGTAAATTTATTCCATTCTTTGGTTACTTACAATGTAATCTAAATTAAATTGTTAATTTTATCATTGTTAATTTTGACAATGATTCAAGATAACTAGATTACAAGTCTCAATATCACAGAAAAAATACTTGTATACAAAAAGAGAATAAATTTAATTTTACTAACTCCAATTCACTTTAAACATAACTTTAATCCTAACTTTTAACAAATTATATTAGTGTTCATAGTGTGGGATATCACCGCAGAAGCATAAAGGTGGTGGTTTTAAAGATTATGTTAAGAAGGGTTCTTTAAGGAAGATGTTGTGGTTATACTTTCAAGGTTTAAGCAATTATTCAAATGCAAAATGTTAATCACATTAGATGACATACAAATAGACTTAAAAGAATATGAACATTTGAGATATATGATAGATGCTTTGTAATGAGAGAAAATTAATTACATGTTTCCAAATACTAACAATAATATAAAAGATATTAGACTTAGACTTGTTATAGATGAAATGAAAATATATGATAATTTAATTAGTAAACATAAGTTATAGTCTATTACAATTATTCGTTATTGTGAATAAAATACAACTATGTGATGCTATTTTTAATAATCTCGAATTCAAGACAACTAGAAAATAATATTGATATAATTCTTTTTAGTTTCATCCTATGTTCTGCTATACAATTAATGACTTTTTTCTTATAGGCCATTGAATATCTCATATGTTAAGTGAGTACATGTCATGATAAATTAAAATATGGAAGAAAATTCATGTATCTTGGACATAGATATTTCTTAAATTTAACCAGTTTTTCCATAAATGGATGAAATTACCATATATAAAGAAAGTAAAAAAAAAACTCTAACTATCTTAAACAGATCACAAGTATACATGAAAAAGATACAAGTTGACAAAAAAAAAATCATAAGAAAAATTTTATATTCTATCTCTCATGTTAAAAGACGTTTGATGCATGACCTTTATAAACTTCTTCTTGTATATAGAAAAACTTGTTTACCAAATTACTTTTGAATCATGTTTAACATTAAGCTTATATTAAAGTTTATTTATTTCATAAATAAGCAAATAATTAATATAATGATGTTATATGGATACGAATGAACTTGTGGATTTGAATTGAAATCGCATCCAAACTTCAATATAATAATAAGAAATCCAAACACGATTAGGGTTAAGGTTAAAATTATATGTCATGAATAAAAGTGGATGATTGAGTCAATGACAATCACAATTTCCTAGTACTAGTTTTCTATTTGATTATATGTATGAATTCAATATCTGTAACCATAAATGTCAATGAGGTAGGGTGGGGTGAGGGAGAGTTTCATTATCTCATACTCATCTTCTAAGTAAAATTCATCTCTACCTCCATTTCCATACTCAACGAGTATAATATTTTTATGCACATCACCATTGGGTAAAAAGTATACACTTGTACTCGTTCCCTTACTATTTCAATATCAATTAATTATGTTTTATAAAAAATAAAAAATAACGACAAAAAAACATGATATTATCAAATATTCAATATTAAAATGATGTATTCTTATTTTTTTAATAAGAAATATTTAGAAAGAAATTATAATTATATATATTTTCAATTAAAGTATCAAATAAAATTTTCTTAGAACCAAAATATTTATTAAGTTTGCAAAAGTTAAAAAGTTGATAAAATTAAAAAATATTATTTAAAAAATTATAAAAAAATAAGTATCCAAGTTTGAAAATATTTTAATTGTCTATTATACACTAATTAATATTTTTTATACACTAATAAAATTATAATATATAAGTTAAATGAAATTATACAAAGATAAAGATAAAACTAATCATGATTAAAATTTAGCATAAATATTTTATCTTTTGAACTTCAATATATTTTGGATAGTAAAAAAATACTTATGACAATGATATTAACTTATTATATCATATAAATACAATGCGCAACTATGGTGATAAAATTATACTTATGAAATGAGTTAGAAAATACAAATGATTAATTATATAAAAACTCATAAAAACAGCATTATATATGAAAAAATAAACAACAAAATAAAAGTATTTAAAAAGAATAAAAAGGATTAAATATGCGTTTTAAAAACAATTTGATATACGATTCAACGAAATATAACAAAATAAAACAAATGTACTGTAATAAGATGAAAAGTACCTTAAAAATTTAAGAAAAGCGTAGTCAAATTATAAAAAGATGATAAAAATTATTTTAGCAAAACAAAAGTTGTTCATATGAAACAAACAATTAAGGATCAAAAGAATAAAAAAATGTAAGTTTTTTATATTACATTTAAAGTTTGTGTTTGAACATTTGAAATTCACAGAAAAATATTTTTATGTAAAAAATGAATAAATTTTTTAAAAAAGAAGTAGAAATATTTAAATATTAAACATAATAATCAATTGTAATTAATAAAACATAATTTGAACATAATCATTCAAATGTAATTGTAAAAGAGAAATTACTTGGGAGTAAATTTTATGAATATAAAAGTCAAACAATTAGAAGTCAAACAATTAGAAGAGAGAAGAAAAAGTGTAACAAAAGAAAAAGAATGATTATAAAACTAAATACTAAGAAAATAATATATATATATATATATATATATATATACTTATAAATTATTTAAATTATCTAATAAATTATGAGTATTTTAATAATTCAAAATACTATTATTTAGGACATGTATGAGAATGAAATATGACAAGTATTACTCATATTCATACCAAATTGAAAAAATAAACATTACCCATATTTATACTCAATCAATATATAAATTTTATATGAAAATGGGGACGTGTTTAAATAATACAAAAATAAACATGTTTACTTGTCATCACTGTGTTTATTTGTCATTTATTTGTCATCCACCATTGTTAGGGTTTAGGGTTAATAATGTGATTTTCGATCATTCATTCATGCAATCATTATTTACATAGTCATCTTTATGATAAATAATAAAATAACTACTATCTTATTAATTTTATTTAATGTTATTATGAATATTAATTTGGTAATGACAATATCTAGTGATAAATATAAAAGTATAAAGTTTGTTCTTATTACTCTTTAATCAAATTAAAAA